AGAGGGTGTTGCGATTGTATGGCGAGCAGATGACCGTGTTAATTAATGATGTTCAATGCATCACCGCAAGCTGGTTGGAGAAGGTCGAAAGCTGGTTAAAATCATTTGCACTTATCGTAAAATAGCAGTGATTTTAATGAACCAGTTTTGATATGCCAAACATTGTACTCAATTAAATTACTAAAAAAGCTTACCTATTTTAATTAAAGGAAAGCCCTCTCCAGCTCATTTAAACTTGACTGTATGATGAAAGAAATCAAACTCGGTGGTTGGTATGTCATTATACATCCAAATCCAACAGATAAAAGGGGATATTGGCAAAGATAAACTACTAAAGTACCTGGCTACTCAGTGGCGATCGGTGCCAAACGGCTGGATAAGAACCCATTCAAGTAATCTTTCTGTGACATTAATACTTCAAGATGCCGGCGATTGATGAGTATGCTGTTATATTTAAGGGTGGTGTTGGTCAAGTAAGTAAGACCATGGTTACACTCACTGACTTGGAGATCATTAATTCGAATCCCGCAACCACCACCTGTCTTCGCTACTAAGTGTTTCCCCAGACAACCCTTATATTGCCGCGGCCCCCTTCCTGAAAGTTGATTGTACATTTGTGCATGCATTACAGACAACAAAGGAGTAAAAAACATTTATGAAAGTTGTCTTCTTTTGGACAGGAGACTTCGAAGCACGTTGCAGCCCACTTTGAACCATCTATGGCGTGATAGCAGCATATGTCCAGTTAATCTCTGTGATGTAAAACTTTCAGATTGCGTTAGTGGATCGGTATAAACAATCGGAATTTACTGCTCCTTTGGATATGACTGTTAGATTTTCGTTTCACAGGCTGAATGCATAGATTCTGAACCGAGTAGTGATATCCATTCGGCAAACGATCGCTAGTCATTTTGATGATCGACGTACCTGAGAAGTCCTTCTGCATCCTCTACTGTAACTGCCTCAGAGTGTATCTCGATTTCTCATAGACAACATCACATAAATGTTCTATCAATTCTCCATTAGGCTTCTTGTTGTAAGTTCCGGCTTTGGTAGGCATTTCCCCAACCGCGGTTGCGTTAGCATGGCATATTTTGACCTTAATACTCATGTGAGTAGCAAATTCTTTCTAACCATCAATTCTGTGTGCAGATTCGCTAACTCTACTTCGACCTTCCGCGTTGGTGAAACGATAGCGTATTTTTCTTCCATCCATTTTATCGTTTTTCATTACTTAAATGCGGGAGACGGCAGGTTAAGTACAATGGACATTACTCTCGCTCGTCGAGGCGTTTATAAAACCCCATAACCAAAGAAGTGAATACGGTATGGTGGGAATGCAAGGCGTTTCTTCATTACATGGATCGACTAGACGTGACAACAAGAGCATCACAAAACGTATAAGACAATGTGAAACGACGGGGCAATTGCACTATCCAACTATCCGCGTAGCAACGTAACATCTTAAATTGATACTCGGACATCTTAAATTGGAAAGTTGTAGTCAACTGCGAGTCATACGATCGAAGTATCCTCTCACTTGTTTAATAATTCTGGCTAAATCAATCTTTGTAGGAAATAAAATTTTCCAAGTCACTGATCTCAAAATATTCCGATGCTTTTAGATCTGACTCCCTAATAGCGGCATGGCTTTAGTTTGTTAGTTGGATTTATAGGACTATGGTTGTGGTCTAAAGGATTGGGATCGCTACTAAAGATTTTCGGGTTTTGGCTAAATCCTGATGGGAAAAGATACATGTCTGGTTCCGCTTCAACTATGACCCCCTGACACAGAAAACGCCTCCCAGTTCACCATGTTACCTAATTCATTACAAAATTCAACCTGATGAATTCGGTCAGGATGGTCGGTTTTCAAAGATTTCCCATTCGTTGATGTAATACTAAACTTCTGGAACTGTCGCTACTCACTCTTTTATGATGCCGTTGGTCCTGTCAGTAAGAAACACCGTTGATATCACAGTGACCGCAAAGCACAGGTCGTATCAGAGACCTCTCTAATTACCAAGATATGAACCCAACAGCTTCGCTAATGAAGTCCAGCTGTTTCGTCTCGTGTTTGTGTGGGTGTTTTGATGAAAACATCTATCTGCAAGAGAGGTCGTTATTGAGTTAAATGTCACTTTAGGTTTTGACTTAAACTGTATTCCTTTTTAGATTGTTTGATGATTAGTTAAGTAAATCGGAATTTAACACCGGCTTGCAAACAAGCACGATACCAAAGCGAAAAAGGGAGAGAAAGGAGGATTTGGGTACAAAAGAGGAAGGACGTGTAAAAAGCAATTAAGAAGAAAGAACAAGAACGAGAAAAGCCGATCTAACCATTTTATGTTATTTTTTGTTAAAGAAATATCATATTAAAGGATTTTGCATTGTCAAAAATGGGTCAAAACCAATACCTAAAGAAAAATGTGTACATCCTTAAAATCATCAATTCGATTTAACAATGAATCGAGCACTTGTTCGCCATCCAGTTAGCTTGTATAGCAAATAATATCCCATGGGGCGATCTGCTTAGTCCTTCGTTCCCTAGATAACACTATCAAACATTCCATTAGGTTGTGGAAAAGGTGCAGCTGAACCGAATCTGAAGGAAGGGAGCTGATATGGCTTTTGATCACACAAGAAATGTTTATAAAAAATAATCCATCAACCAATGGCGCAATGGGCTATCGGCCGATTGCACAACTTATTGGTTGGTTGGTTTTCGGCTCCCAACACGAAAACTCACGATTCACCAGTCGCGGTGGGAGGTTCAAAATACTCGGCGCTGTATATGAGTTCGCCAAGGACGAAAAAAACCTTCAATGCTCCCGGTCTACCATCTTGTAAATCTCATCAAATTAGGTCCGGTTACCGCTTCATGCTCCTCGCTGAATGAATGCTCTTCAGGCCACATAACCACCGTATATCAAACTGGCACCAAGGTTGTATAGAGGAGTGAACAATTAATTAATGGCAACAAAGCAAAACTAATAAAAGCACGACATCATTGGTAAAAATAATTTGGTTAGTAGAACACTAAGCCACGACCGGGTCAAATGAGTTTTGGGTTTGTGAAACAGTAAGTAAGGAATAGCAGAGCGCTTATAAAACATGGCGTGTGCATCTATCTTTACATGGTGAAAACGGGCAAATGAAGAGGAGAAACAGTTGCCAAGATTAATTTCTATGGAATGGGAAAATTCAAATAAAATCTTGTGGGTGAAAGTTTGACAAAACTAACAGCGTTGGGCTATAACATGCTGTGTAAGATACTCAGGAACCTTCGCAATTGAAATTGTATTGTTTCATATATGTTGAAGTTATAGTACAAAATAATATTTAATGTTTCGATTTCCTGAATTTTTAAGTATTTAAAAATAATTAATAGAATTTGGTCAATGGCGCCCTTAAGTCAAATGTCAAATTTTCCCCCGAACACTCGAGGAGAGCTTAAAGTAGCACATGCCCTCGTGTTCAGTGTGCCGTGTTAATGCAGCACAATAACTACAGTTAATTACAGGAAAGAGTTAATGAGAAAGTTCAAAACTTTAGATCTTGACTATTCCCCATTTTGGATGTGGATTGTCTTGAGATTCAATCACCGGGCGTTCGGGTGCTCAAGAATGCGTTACTTACCATGGAAGCCATGGGAGCCTAACTGCACCCATAAATTACTTTTGAGAACACAAAAGGTTGTTTGTGAAGGCAAGTGCTGGCTGAATTCTCTTTGGGTTGAATATGAAATCACATGTGCCTTAAAGGTCTTGTCTAAACTCGATAAAGGGATCGGAACGCTTCAGTACGAAACTAGAAAAGCCAATAAATGCTGTTCATTCTAACTCAGTTGTTTGCGTATTGACCGTCCCATCTATCCGTCATCACGACGAGTTAGGCGAACATCTAGATATACTAGCTCAGTATCTACTTCCGTTTTGATCATGAATTTCAAGTTCCGATGTACAATAGTGAAGTGACCAAGTGTGTTCCCAGTCCACTGTATAATCAACCACGAACAGTGTCATCCATGTACATATACTTGATATGCGTTTCAAAAGGACAGTTTTTTACTTTAGTCATGAAAACACATCAAACAAGGGTCCTAGGTGGGACACCATTCTTATACCGTTCTTATAGCGATATATTTCATTTTTAACGTGGAATGGCACTCTGATATCGATAAAGAGTTTTCAACAGAGTAGACCTAAGCTTCTTCGCTTCCAGATGACACGAGGTAGCCAAATCTTTTGACTGAGCATCAAGGTTTTCGACCCTTACCTCCACATCTAACAGCTTAGGCTCTCATGACCCATTCTGAAGCTCCCGTTTATGTAAGGAATGCCCCTTAACGCAAGAGTTTAAAGATTTAAATTACTTTTCTGTTCCCTCGTAAATTCTTGTCTGAAATCAGTCAGAAATGATGTGTTACTTTGGCATGACTGTAGAACACTGTAAATGGGCTTGTTTTTCATGCTGTGCTCTCATCCCTCGAATCAGCTGGGGCGCAATAAGTTGTTTCCATCATTGCCCATCTGCGGGATGTCATTTCCTGACCTAGTAAAGCAGGATTCATTTATTTAACTATGGTATTTTGATGATTATTCAAGTAGATTGGACTGGTGTGAAAGTCATTTTCGGAAGGGATCTGTATGTCAAAGTTTGTTTAAGAAATCCATTCAAAATACTCTCATCTTGTACGTGTTACATACATTGTTATATACCTATGGGTATTTCTGACCATCCCCAATTCAATAGTCCGTTTTGAGCACACTTAGTATCTGCCTTTATTGATCTTTTTTTAGTGCAGCTGTTTCGTTTTGCTTACATTTATTATTTTCTTATTCGTTAAGTGACAATACGCTAACTTGAACTGATAAGAATACAGTTGCACCAATTGCTATTATCCGTCCATTTCACTCTCACCTACAATTTCCCACTTCCACCCCACCTACGCCCAACTTTACCAATTTCTGACCGCACCCTCCTTGTTTTGAAAGCAAATGCAACTGGACATGCTTCAATCATTCGTACAAAAGGAACTAACCCCAAAACTACCCATCACAGATATGGTAACCAAACCCGCCAACCCATTACCCTTGAGACCGTATGTATGCTTGGACAAAGACTCGTTCAGACACGAGAGGCTGCATTTGACCGGTTCAACTGTACTGGGGGGCAACGGAAACCCGAGACTGCGCAATCCCATGATGGGTGCAATGAATCAAACGCGAATGACAAGCTCTATTTTTCGTCCGCCGCATTTGATCACCAAACCCGTGCTGGGCAATCTTAAACGGAAATATTTCGATCGGGATCAAAGTGGCAAAAGGTCACGCGGAACTGGTGCATGCGATGGCCTGGGTTCAGACACGGAAGAGGATAGAGCATCAAAACCGAAACAAATCAAACCAAATGTGATCCGGCCCAATTCAGCTATATGTCATCCATCACGTTTGTGGTGGCCTGTGAATGAGCGCAGCAATTCGGTGGTCGAACAAAATATACGCATTCAAACTGATATCGAATGCCGTAATTGCACATCGCAGGAGATCGTGAAAAGTCCCTCAGTGTCCCCGTCAAAAGCACAAACATGTGTTCGAAATTCGTGCAACCGGAGTANGGTACTTCGAGTCGCGGGAGTTCCCAGCTGTCGGATACCAATTACGATTCGCCCAAATCGACACTCGGTTCAGACATTCCCACTGCCTGTTCAGCCTCAGTTGAGCGACCGAGAGGAAATTCGGACAAAGTTTGCGAACCTCTCTCTCCCAGTACACAGCCCCAGTCTGGGCTGATAGACGAATCTGTTCCACCGGGAGCAATGAATGAAGATAACAGACCATTGGATTTGCGTCACTCGGAGCCACCATGGTCGGCCACACGCTTCGGGAAACTGTCCGAATCGAAACAACCAACACCAGTTCCACTCTTCCGAGGCTGGCCCACCATTCCCCATCCGATGGCTTTGTTACGTGCCCAAATGACCTTGATACAATGTCAGAAGAATCTGATGGATTTTTTGCAGCGTTCGTACCGCGGTAAGTTGGGGATGTGAATGACGTAAATTAGTGGACAGTTAGCGATCATCCACATTCTCACTTTCTGCCCAGATGCTAAACAATGTCAAGTTTATTTCATAATGAGCGGCACACCGATTTCACAAACCATGACAATTCCATCCAAAGTATTTAAATAACTGCTTACTTATGTTAGTCAAACGAATGCTGTTTTCCCACAACGAATGAAACGCAGTGTGCTTATTCTAGTTTCCTCGAATGGTTTGATCCCACATCGCAACTGCATCCTTGCAGCCGTAAAAGAGAATGTATGGCTGTCAAGTTGAGGCTACAATTCCATTGAGATTGGTGGGTTTTTTAAGTTACAAACAAATTATTTTGAGTATAATGTGACGTTTTCGCATAGCTATCCAGGCGTTTCTGATGTTCCTTGTCAGTGTTGACACTAACCTGCCCATAGTAACTCTCGCACTTCGCACTAAAATGAGCCACTTTCAATGTACAAAATACATTGCTAAATGTTTAAACACACAGAGACTGGAAAAAGATTCACAATTTTTGACATGACATGACTCTGTCTCTCTGTCATCCATTTGATACACAACCGCATATATATACAACTAATTGGTAGTCAGTAATCAAAATCAATAATGACTCATTATTCACATTTGCATTTGTTTATTTGAGCGACTAAATGGAAGACAATAAAGGGTCAGTCATTCTTGGATAGCCAAAAATGCGAGAAGAAAACCATTCGCTTGACACCAACCCAATCATTTGCTACCACAAAACACTCTGCTGTGTCCCCTTAGAAACCCGGTTCGTCTAGATAATGTGAAAATGATGGTGCACATCCATGTCAATGCATGGCTTAGAGAAAGTTGCTTTTATTTCTGTTATTCTACCAGAATTGTACTCTTGGATGCAGGACCCACGTCTCTTTGGTGATAATAATATAAAAATAAACATTTACTCGTCTCAAGTAGCCATAAAAATGTGTTAATACTCGAATTTCATTAGTGCCTGGACGGTGAGTGACGAGGTATCAGTACTCCACATATGCGAAGCAAACGAAAAATCAATAGAAATTTTTGCGACTGCTCTGTTGAGATGAGTTCTGACTAACGGGTGCCTTAAAGTGGGTTACCGATTCATGTTGAATAGAAGGTAAACAGGCAAAACACAAGGAATATTTGCGAAATTGCACTCGTGATGCACAAGCCTAATTGCGTTTTATAGTCTTGCTGGAGGGACCGGTTTCATTCCTCCCGGATCATCCAATTTTATCAGACAGAAAGTGGGGTTTGCTGTTCCCTTATTTTTTTTTTCTTTTTATTTCGCGGAGGGGGGTTGGGTGAAGTGGGAGTACTACCCAGTCATTTTCTACTATCCCATTCACAGTTAAACAAACATTTTTACCGATATCAATAATGCACAGTCCACAGTACTTATTTATACTCTGAACAGTCAGTGATTATTGGTTGGACAGCCCTACCACTGAGTGATCTTGATGAAATAGCTTTAATATAACCCATACATCACGATCTGTCGAGGTCCCTTGTAGGTCGCACAAATTAGAAAATAGTTGGTTCATTAGCTAAGATGGACTGATTTGTTTACTTGCAAAACCAAGTGTTCTCGCCGAAAAAAATTAGACAATGCTCCTTATCACTTCGGCATTGTCTGATATGATCATCGCTATCCGACTGATTTCAACATTTTTCTTCCATTTTTTGTGCGACAAGGAGATTATTTTTCCCCATTGGTNATAGTTCAGTTGTTGTTTGAACGAATTTGTGGACATGATTAGATGATGTGTACGCCACGCGGACTTTCCCTCTCCACTGACGATGACGCTGACACACTGTACGACGGATTACCATGAGTTGTATGTACGCGCGCATGTGTCAAATGAATGTTTGGGCCAGTACGCAGGTTGATTAAAAAACGTATCTACCTGTTTCTCCTATTTTTAACCCTCACACTCAGGGCTCCCCTCCACCGTACTTCTGCTCCTTGTGCGAAGGAAAACGACGTGGCGTGTGTGNGTGTGTATACGCGCGCACTTGTGTGTGTGTGTGTATGGGTAACTGAAGTCTGTGCATTTGTTCGTTTTTCCGGGTGTTACTTGACCGAATATCATACAGAGATACGTGTAGACGCACACACACACACACACAAGGGCCGCCACCAACCCATCATGAAGTGAAGGTTATGAAACAGGTGTTGCACCATCGAAACAACTACCTCGAGCATCATCATCAACAACAACAATAATATTAACAAAACCAACATAAATGATCCCATCATCAACATATACGAGATCATTTGATTTTTCCATGCCTCGTTACCATCACATTATCTAGCGGAATTACAATAAAGAAGCACTCAGTTCCCATAGTTTAACCAAATATTTAGATATACAAGGTAAATGTTTCATTCCAGTTCCATGCTCTGAAAATCCTCGTCTTCTTTCGCGCATGATGGCCAGTTCTTGCCCACTGTCAATTCTGTGATAAATCCCTACATACGATTGTGGTATGGTGATCAAAGACATAAAACTAAACATTCTGCTGGCTGACGTGTCGAACTTATAGGGCACCCTGTAGATAAAATAACTGCGTTTTCCTATTATTTCGAGTAATATTCAAATTGTTGTTTGGTTGACTGAAGTCTTCTGATAAAATTGTGAAGAATTCTATAGCCTCGGTGGGATTCGAACCCACGTATGGCCACTGCCTACACTTATTGTACACCGTATGTTTTACCGGCTGAGCTACAAGGCCACATTGACTGTACGGGTCTTTTCACACTCGAATCGCCCATAAATCGGTTAAGGGGAAAGTTGACGGCGTCAAGCTTTTAGTGTATGAGAAAAAATTGGAGATTGATTCTACTCCGGGAGAGTTGGCTACATTCTGAAAATAAAGACGATGTTTTTCAACCTAACGGATTTGATATTCCGTTGCCATCCCGCTGTTAGCTTTCTAAACAGATGTGGCAGACTGGTAACTTTCCTCAGTAGACAATAGTGTAAAAAAAACCTATGCACTTTCTTTTCAATTAAGCAAGACTAGGTGCATCTTCTTGTAGTCTAACCCCCGTTTCCTCAGTCGTTTTCATCGCGTCATACTAGCCACCATTTGCATTGCCTTTAACAGCTTACCTCTGGCAGTAGTCTAGTTATGCTTTTTCCACACAGTTTTCTACCGGTTTGGAGCAGCCTTTTGATGCTGATGATTTAAAATGTTTTTACATTAGACACTGTAAGTATTGTATATTTCTCAACTTCACAAATAGTCTTCGTAAACTACCCTGAAATTCGTTTATTACAACAATTCAACACCCCAGACCTCTGAGCACACTTTTACATCTAAGAATTTATGGAGGATGTTGTCATCGCCTACTATAGTACTATAGTATGTTTTTCCTCCATAACCATGAGTATGAGAAATTTCTCCCCTGACACCTTATCAAATCCAGTGACACGGTTTCTTCTACCGAATGTTCTGTTTTTATCAATATTGATAAGTCTTGTTATCCACTGTATTAATTTTGTTTGGATATGCTTTGTCCGCTGGAAAGGTGAAGTACTCGTACTGACAGATTCTCACCAATTCTTTTAAAATAGCCTCGTCGTGTTAGAAAAAAGGTTTTCAGTGGCAGTGATGCAAAACAGTCAACAATTTCAAGCAATTAAGATATGCACAACTTGAATCGGACCTGTATCAAAACCGTCCCCGGGAAACCAGAAAAGGTTTCAAACAAAATCGGCATTGAAACAGTTTAGTGACACGCACAAGAGCTTCTCCCCGGATGTAGAAAAAGTATATCGTTTACTGGCTACTGTGTCCGTTCTCGGGTCAAAACTATCCGCCGAAGCAGGCCGTGCTGTTAGCTCTTCGTACCTTCAAACGAAAAAGGGCTGTAACCATATTCACAGTGTGCCGAATAGCTTGCATCACCTATTATTGAGTTCTTCAATTTGCGTATGCCCTTACGGGAATCTCCGGTCGCTGGACGTACACCCGAACAGCCGGCACGGTTCGTTTAATTTTTGCAAATTATGCTACTACTTTTGAGTCTCTTTGGCATTCTCATTCCACCTTTTTTCTGACTACGGTCTGAAAAGTGATTGGTTGAATGTCCATCCTAGTTACTTCTCACGTAACAGATTATCAGGTATTACAGGTAAAACGTCCTCTTCTCCAGAATTGAATTTCTCGGTTTTTCAAAGTGAAATTTTATCTCCATTCTTTTTTCTTTTTTTATACAACTAATCTTCACATCTCTTTTAACTTTATCGCGTCCTAGTATACTGATGACGTGGTAACCGGGTTTTTCTCCAGTTTTCGTCTGCACCTCGATCTTCGATGTTTGATAAATGTCTAGATGTTTCTTTTGGCCTTAAACCCGGTTCCCAGTATCAGAAAATTTTAGTAGCTAACCCGAATTTGATGTTAGTAATAATATTGTTCTCAAGTCTGACTGCATGCAATACCTCAGAGTCACTTTTTCATATAACCTTCCTTGGTTCAAACATGTTAATTTACCTTAATTGATTGTCTATTTAAAGATCGTCATTCTACGATTTCAGACTTAAAATACCTGTTGTTCTAATTTTAGTCCTTAAATTTTTGATGGATTGCTTTCTTTCCTACTGATTATGCATTACCCAGGATTTCCCTTACCCTGTAGAGAAGGGAAAACAGTATCTTTATTTCCAGATTTTCCTTTTTCCCGTTTTAGTAATATGTTTTGGTTGAATTATCTGCAAGCCTTTTGATACCTGTGATCGATTCACCAGTTATATACTGCCCAGTAAAGACCACTTTCTGCATATCTGTCTTCAGAAATGTGTCCCATCTTCGTACGAGTTCCCCATTTCAAGCTTCTAGCACGTACTACCACTTCGCAATATAGTATCATCACTTGTCTTGCCTGTCTTATTGAACTATAAATCTATTACCATGGCTTTGATGAATCGGTTATCGCGTTAGTGCCGTTTTTCGTTTTCGTGCATACAACTGTGTTTTCA